ACTAATATGAGTTAACCTTCTACTGCTCGAGGTCGACTTCATAGACCCCACTGATTGAGGTCGACTGGCTACTCGAGGACACATCTGTCAGTTATTTCTCAGTATTCAATAGGCTTAATGGATAATGAAGAATCTTAAGCTGACTCAGACCTGACTAAGAGGTGATTAAGATATAAATAAACAGGGCAAACCAAGGGCATTTTGGGTATTTCAGGCAGGTATTCTCTCTTATAAAAAGGCTTGAGGTAACACCAAACCCTTACTTTTTCACTCTTCATACATTTCATATCCTGTTGCTGCTCTATCTGTAGGACATCTCTCTCACTTTCTGATACTGACTTAAGCATCAGAGGCTCTGCACCGGAAACCCCTCAGGCGTTGAGTTCCTGTCGGTATTCGTGGTGATTGAGAGGCGATTTAGACAAATCGGAGCTCATCTCAACCGGTTCACTCTAGATCTAGGAGGAAACCCAACATTTGGCGTCGTTTGTGGGGAGTTCTTGAGGGAAGTAAGAGCTTCGCACCTAGTTCTGATTGTTTGAGATGGGTGAGAATGAGGTTTGCAGAGGAACTTAAATATGGATTTCATGTGAACATGGACAGATAGGAGGCCCCTAGTGGTTTCTAGCCCCAAACCAGTGGTGTCTATGTTCAGATTTTTTCCTGTTTGGAAGACGCGAGCCGCTAGTAGTGCGTGTGGAGAAGAAAAACGCCCATCACCCTGCCTAGGGTAAAAATCCCAGTATTGACCCAAGGAGGAACTAGCCAAATGTCGAACCCAGTTCTGGGAATCGGGGAGCGAGAGTCGATGGAAAGCCTCAAAATGCTGAAAAACAGTTGGAAGGAGTGTTGGAGCAAGAAAGAGCGAGAACATAACCCCAGCTCGAGGCGCAAACACTGAGTATCACTAGGAGCGAGATGCAAAAGATGATTGCAGAAGCAGTGGCTGCCCAACTTGGACAAACATCTCGGGTCGAGCAACAACTTCGAGTCAAGAAACCACCTCGACTCGAGCAAGAGCAGCATGCCCAGTCTAACGAACAGCATAACATGAGGGTTGACGAGGAGGAGTCACAGGCGAGGAACTATACTTTGGAGAAGTTGATGGCCAAGGTCCACGACCTGCAAGCTCGAGTAGAGAGGAGGAAGAGTGGTAGCTCTATGGGACACACAGTTTCTCAAAACACATTATGGATGCCGACTTACCACAAGGTTTTAAAGAGTTGAGCATATGGTATGACAGGTCTACAGACCCATCTAGACACCTGAGAAGTTTCGAGAACATGATGTTGCTCCACCGTTATAGTCGTCTTGTACATGCCGATATTTCTTGATAACATTGAGAAGACCGAGTCAAGACTGGTTACATCGGTTACCACTAGGAGCTGTCTAAGACATCGATGGATTGAACTCAAGCTTTCTCAATCAATTCGCAAGTGTTAGGGCTCGTGAAAAGTCTTACCTCACTTTGATTAGGATGCAACAGAAAGAAGGGGAATCATTGCGAGATTATGTAGCTCGATATAATTGGGCATGCGTGGATGTAGGAGTGAGCAAAACTGAGCCGAAACCGAAAAACCTCATCGAACCGAGCTATTCGGTGCGGTTCACTGCGATTTTTTGTAAGTTCGATTATTGGTGCGGTTTGGGTTTTCAAAAACCGCAAGTATTTCGGTGAGGTTCTATTTTTTATCCGAAGGGTGCGGTTTTAACCGAACCGCACCGAATGTCATAAAATGTCACTTTTTTATTTTTCAATAAAATATCGCCTTAATTTTTACAATTTTACATACATAACATTAACTGGTGGTTATCTTTTTAAATTTCGGTTAATCGAAAAACCGAACCGCACCAAACCGAAATTTTCGGTTCGGTGCGGTTCGGTGAAAATTTTTTAAAAATTTGGTTTTCGGTTTTTTTGGTGCGGTGCGGTTTTTGACCGAACCGCACCGATGCT